ACCCTCCTGCACATCTGTATAGATAAGTATTTCGGCGCACAGCAGAGAAATCACTGAAAAGAATGCAGTAGCAATTAACCAGACACAGACCAACCTCCCCACCCTTCATGGCAGCATAGCTGACAGCCACATACTTTGAAGTACCTTGCCCGCTTAATCAGATTTCACATTGAACCAATCTAGCTGCAAATAGGAAATCACTATATTTCCCCCAACATTTCATTCGCAAGAAGCTGTTAAGAGCTTTTGAGTCTTAATGGATCCGGGACTATTCTGCTTGAAATATAGGGTCCTGTGGTGGCTAAAAACAGTGTTTTCCCAGTTGCATTTAGCTTACGAATCTTCTTCTGGACTCAGCCAGTCTGGCCACCCTGATATCTCAAAATTCCGCTATTATGAGGTTCTCTATGTGCAGTGCGGTGGCTCAAGTGGCTAAGACACTGAACTGCAGATTGGAAGGTCTGTGGTTTGGCAGTTCGAGACCCAAGTGCCGCGTGACGGAGTGAGCTCCCGTCTCCGGCCCCAGCTCCTGCCAACCTAGCAGTTTGAAAGCAAGACATTGCAAGTAGATAAATAGGCACTGCTTCGGTGGGAAGGTAACAGCGTTCTGTGCGCTTCAGCGTCTAGTCACATGACCAGAAAGATGTCTCCAGACAGCGCTGGGTCTTCGGCTTGGAAATGGAGATGAGCACCACATCCCTAGAGTCAGATTCGACTGGCTTTCGAGCAAGGGAAACCTTTACCTTTACCTTTATGTGCAGATACCACTGAAGGCAGCTCAGATCCTGGTTATACATTTTGCAACCAATGTTCCCTCTAAGCTATCGAGTCTTGTGAGCAAACACTCTACTTTGTGAGCTACTGGCATTAAAGTTGTGAGCAGGTAATTTGGCTACTGCATGAATTAGTTTGCTCTGGAGCCACATCCCTCCTACGCTCAGACAAAAAGGTGTGAGCCGGGGGCTAAAAAACTGTGATCTGGCTCACACTAACTCAGCTTAGAGGGAACACTGTTTGCAACTCAGGTGGCCCAGAGCTCTTGAATGGGCAGTCTTCCAGGGGCCAACTCATCCCGCTTGATTCTACAATGCATTTCATTCCGTTGGTTTGTTGCATGGAGGGTGAGTTGCTTAAGGTGTAATCAGGCCTCAATTGATTTATTGCCTCTTGTAAAACAGATTAAACGGGAGGCATCACCGTTTGAACCCTTTTGCATTCACCCCCCCATCTGTTAATGACGGAGCAGAGGCTGCTCCTATATCACTACATTTCTAGCCTTGCCAAGAAGTTCTTGATGAAGTTGCGGGAAGGAAGTAGGAAACTTTTCTCCCTCTGTTTCCCCGCGCTTGCAGTTTCTCAGGGTCAAAATACACGTTCGGCCTGACACAAATCATGTCATGGGAGGCCAACCTGACCCTCAGTCATACGTCCGTCCATGCAGGGACTAATTTTTAAAAGCCTCTTGGTCACTGTGAGGGGGAAGGGGGAACATCAGGCTTCCCTCCTGGGCTGCTTTTGCCAGTGGAAATGACCACAGGGGAGCCCGTTCGACCCTTCCTCAAGCTCCACATGCCATCGATTGGCCTAAATGGCACAAGAAGGAGGCTTGAAGCAACTTCTTCTCCCTCTCAGCATTTGGAGCCACATAGATCCACTGAGAGGTTTTGAAAGGTTAGTCCCCAGGTAAATGCATGATTGAGGTTGGCATGAGACACAACTCACGTTACCCATATTTGGTTTCTGACACTGCCACAGGAGGTGGTGGCGGTTACAAGCATGGACGGCTTCAAGAGGGAATTGGATAAGGATATGGAGCAGAGGTCCATCGGTGGCTATGAGCCACAAGGTATAGATAGGGACTCACAGTCTGGGGCAAGGGATGCTCTGTCTTCTTGGTGCTTGAGGGGGGCAACAGTGGGAGTGCTTCTAGTGTCCTGGCCCCACTGCTGGACCTCCTGAGGGCACCTGGTGTTTTTGGCCACTGTGTGACACAGAGTGTTGGACTGGGTGGGCCTTTGGCCTGATCCAACATTGGCTTCTCATATGTTCTTATATGGAGCAGAGGTCCATCAGTGGCTCTTAGCCACAAGGTATAGAGAGAAACTCTCGGTCTGGGGCAAGTGATGCTCTGTATTCCCGGTGCTTTCGGGGGGGCAGCAGTGCTTTCAGGGGGGGCTTCTAGTGTCCTGGCCCCACTGCTGGACCTCCTGAGGGCACCTGGTGTTTTTGGCCACTGTGTGACAGAGCGTTGGACTGGATGGGCCTTTAGCCTGACCCAACATTGCCTTCTCTTATGTTCTTATGTCCTTATGACATTAGGTTACAACCCATGAGATTACAACAGGAAACCCTCCAGGGGTCCAAAGCGTTCAAAGGCGGAGAAAAATAAATAAATAAATAACAAAGTTATTTATTATTTTAGATTTCTATCCCGCCTTGCCTGCACAAATTAGAAAATGCATGCAAGTTTATTTTATTTAAGTCCTACACTTAGCTCTTACTTTATTACTTTATTTAAGTCCTACACTTAGGTAGGAGCTGCGGTGGCTCAAGTGGTTAACACGCTGAACTGCAGGCTGTGGAAGGTCGATAGTTCAGCAGTTCGAGACCCGAGTGTGCCGCATGACGGAGTGAGCTCCCATCTCTAGTTCCAGCTCCTGCCAACCTAGCAGTTTAAAGGTTAGGTCCCACATGCCAACCTAGCAGTTCGAAAGCAAGAAATTGCAAGTAGATAAATAGGTACCACTTCAGTGGGAAGGTCACAGCGTTCCGTGCGCCTTGGTGTTTAGTCATGCCGGCCACATGACCATGGAAACGTCTTCGGACAGCGCTGGCTCTTTGGCTTTAAAACAGAGATGAGCACCACAACCCTAGAGTCGGATTCGACTGGCTTTCGAGCAAGGGAACCTTTACCTTTACTTACACTTAGGTACAAAAAAATCAAAGTCACAGATATAGAATAGGAGGGACTTGGCTTGACAACAGCACATGTGAAAGGGATCTGGGTGTTCTGGTTGATCACAACCTAACATGAGCCTGCAGTGCGATGTGACTGCGAAGAAAGCTAATGCAGTCTGAGAATGCATTAACAGAAGTATTGTGTCCAGGTCACGGGAGGTGGTCGTTCCGCTCTATTCCGCTATGGTCAGGCCTGACCTGGAGTCCTGTGTCCAGTTTTGGGCACCACAATTTAGGAAGGATGTTGACAAGCTCAAGCGTGTCCAGAAGAGGGCTACCAGGAGGGTGAGAGGGTTGGAATCCAAGTCATATGAGGAAAGGCTGAAAGAGTTGGGTATGTTCAGCCTGGGAAAGAGAAGGCTTAGAGGGGACATGATTGCAGTCTTCAAGTATCTGAAGGGCTGTCATGTAGAAGATGGAGCCGATCTATTCTCTCTTGCTCCGGATTGCAAGACAAGATCTAATGGGTGGGAATTACAAGGGAGTCGTTACCGGCTAAATATCAGGAGAAACGTCCTAACTGTAAGAGTAGTTGAGCAGTGGAACGGACTGCCTCGGGAGGTGGTAGAGGCTCCTTCGCTGGACATTTTCAAGCGGAGGCTGGAGGACCCTCTTTCAGGTCTGTTGTAGGGCTGTCTTTCGGCTGTGCTCCTGCAGAGTGCAGGGGGTTGGACTAGATGACCTGCAAGGTCCCTTCCAACTCTAACATTCGATGATTCTATGATTCTATTTATTAATTTATCTATTAAATATTTACCCCACCCTCCCCGCTGGGGCAGGCCCAGGGTGGCTTACAAAAATTTAAAACACACAAAGAACCATTGGAACAATCATAAAACCATCTCAAACAATCCTGGTGCGGCAGTTGGTCCCCTTCCTTAGCCGCGAAGACCTGGCCACAGTGATCCATGCGACGGTCACCTCGAGGCTAGACTACTGCAATGCTCTGTACATGGGGCTGCCTTTGTTGCAAATTTGGAGGCTGCAGCTGGTGCAGAATGCGTCGGCCAGGCTGGTTGCTGGTGCCTCAAAAAGGGACCACATTCAGCCTGTGCTGAAAGCGCTGCACTGGCTGCCTATAGCATTCCGGATTCGCTTCAAAGTGCTGGTGCTCACCTTTAAAGCCCTACATGGCCAGGGTCCAGCATACCTGAGGGACCGCCTTTCCCTATATAGGCCCCAAAGAGCACTTCGGTCAGGGTCACAACACCAGCAAGTGACCCTGGGCCCTAAAGAGGCCAGGCTGGCTGCCACCAGGGCCAGGTCTTTCTCGGTGGCGGCTCCTACCTGGTGGAATGAACTCCTGGAGATCAGGGCCCTGCGGGACCTGTTACAGTTCCGCAGGGCCTGTAAGATGGAGCTCTTCCACCAGGCTTTCGAATAGGAACCACCACCGCCGCCACCACCACCAATGGGCGACTGTAAAGCAATACCGCCGGGTTAGGCTGTCTGGCCATTTGAACAGCGGGGCCATAGCATCCCCCTTTGTGACTCAATGTGATGTACAACAGGGAGCAAATATGTGAGTCGCAGCTGATCCTTGGGAGTTGCCCACTGTAATTAATTGTTTTAAATTGTTTTAACCGTAATTTATTGCACTCTGTGCCCTAATCGTGTAATTGGGATGTTGTTTCACATCTATGTCCTATAAGCCACCCTGAGCCCACGTGCGGGGAGGGTGGGATATAAATGCAATTAATTAAATAAATAAATAAATAAAGTGCTAGTACAATTGGTCTGGCAAATCAATGCTAACGATATTTGGTGACGGACGGCAGCAACTGATGCCCTGTTGCAGACCAAACTAGCAAACAGACCCCCAGAGGCGGCCGCTCCAGGAAATCTCTTTGCTCCCCTTCAACCAATGCCAGGAACACAAATGCAAGTAGTTGTGAACCGGAGAATAGGGCAGGGAACAGCCACACAGTTACAAAAGACAAGACAGGTGATAAGATTTGTGTAACATGTAATCGCCCCCCCCCTTCCCGGAACGACGTTTGATTTGCAACACAGCAGTCCAGTTGTTTCTGGCGGTAACGGGAATGGTCCCCGATTATCTCCTAACGACTCTGGATATTGATATTTTTCCTGACCTTGGGGACCATTATTCCACTCAGGTACTCCCCCCCCCCCATTCCAGCTTCCCTGGAAGTCTGCCAAAGAGATAGGGTGAGTTCTGGATTTACGTAATTTTTTTCCCCTCTCGCCTCCTATAAATAGTCCGAGGAAGCCGGACTGCCCTGCACTGGCGACTTCGGGCTCCCGAGTACAACAACTTCAGATCAGCCTTCCAGGAAAGAGACCAGCAGACAGGTGAGCTTTTGTTTTTTATTTATAAATTTTAGTCATGTTTTAGAGAGCCAGTCTGGTGTAGTGCTTAAGTGCACGGACTCTAATCTGGGAGAACTGGGTTTGATTCCCCACTCCTCCACTCGCAGCTACTGGATGACCTTGGGCAAGCCGTAGTTCTGATAAGAGCTGTCCTTGAAAAAGA